TCTTTCTATTAAAAATTGAATTCTGCAAAAGTAGCTAGTTTAGTTCCTGTTTAAGACAACCTCCATATCTCAGTGTTCACCAAAAATGCTTTCCATGATCTCCCCATTTTATCACTCCTAATAATAAAAGAGATGTGTACTGAAGTGTAACAGAACACAGTGAGCTCAGCCTTCAGCACAGGGGTCGTTGCTGCGCATCATTTCTCTGCACCCTGTTACCAGGCAGTGGGTCCTGCTCAGCCATTGGGCAGTGCAGCAGTGGGCCCTGCCCACAAGCAACCAACAGTTAAGAAACCACAGTTAGTGAGGGGATTCAGACAACAGTGGAGTGGTGGTCGTGAGGTGGAGAATGATGTAAGAGGTGGATCCTGGCCTTCCCTCCCAGGCCCTTCAGGTCACCCCACCTTGGGCCAGCAGGTGAACTGGGGGCCCCAGAGAACAGGTTTGGGGCTGTGTCCTGCCGGGCTTCAGAGCCCTCACCAAGGTCACCCACTAGCCTCAGCCAAGGCCTCCGGGTAACAGTGAACCTCACCCCCATTCTGGTCTCTGCAGTGGCAGTCTGCCGGCTTGCAGTCTGTGGGACCTAGTCTCCCACTTTGAGTGGCCTGAGGAGCCTGAGAGCCAGCTGGTTGGGCGCCTGACTTCTTTAGAGATGACAGCTGGGTGGGGTCTGGGGACCAGGCCCTGAGGGAGCTGTCAACTGAACTCTGTCTCCTCTTAGCCAGGACCAGGACCTTGGAGGGTGAAAGGTGTACCTTGGGACCTTGCCCTCTCTTGTCAAGTCAGAGAACAACATTCATTTGGTAGAGATTTACAGAAACATCATTACCTGACCATGACCTGACCTCAAGCACAAAGGATCTAAACCTTTGCAACAATTAACCTCATCCCTCCCTCCCTCCCCTTTTTTTGCTTTTAAAAGGGCTTTGATGAGAGCTTTCAGTAATTTTGGGTTTCTTAGAGCACGAGCCATCTGTTTACATGGCCCCGTAATAAACCTTTCTCTCTTCCAAACTCCAGTGTTTTAGCATAGTTTGGCCTCACTGTATGTCGTCGGGCACTTGGACTTGCGTTGTTCAGTAACACAGGAAGAAGCATGCAATAAAATTAATTCTACTGTTTCATCAGGCAGAAAGTGGCTTTTTTAAAAAAAAAAAAAAGATACACTATGGTTGTGATAAAAAAATAAATAAATTAATTAATTAATTAATTTAAAAAAAATAAAAAAAATAAAAAGTTCTGAGTGAGTTACCCCATCATGTAGAGGTCCTGGCCGAAAGAGACATCAGCTGAGGGCAAAGAGACCAAGAAATGGAAACAAGGAATTTCTGTCATCCTAATACACATACATAGCATCTATGTTATATATCCTTGTATGTATTATAAATTAAGCAGCATTATCCTTTTTTCCTCCTTGCTTTTCTCTCTTACTTTGAGATATGGCAAATTGGTGTTGGTGAACTTTGTAATTTGGTACTTAGAACACAGACTATCAAGGTGAGATTATAAGTGACTTAGAAAAGGAATGAACAGTACTCAAAGATAGAGACAACGGGCAGATGGGATATTTGATATTTCTTTTTGAGGCCACCTTCCTTCCTCGTGGAACTGAAACACCAGGTCTTTTCTGTTCTCAAGCCAGTTGGATTCCCAACTGGAAGTTACCCTTTTCTACGGCTCTTCCACTTACTTTTTGGTTTTCCAGTTTGCTGACTACAGATTTTGGGGCCGCTCAGCCTTCATACTCTGGCGACCAATTCTGAGCTCTGTCATAAAGAGCTCGTGAACTGGAGAGCAGGAAGTGCAGCTTCCTGTGGGAAACCGGGGGGCCAAGCTCTGAGGAGAGCTGCTGTGTCACTTCCGCTCTGAAGGTAGGCCTGCCTCAAAAATAAAAAACGTTCAGGTATTCCACTTCTTGTCTCGGTCTCAAGAGTACCATTCATTTCTTTTCTGGTTCACTCATATTTGTATCACCTCTTGGTTCTGTTTCTCAGGAAGACCCAGCTGTATGATTATGGTCCATGAGTCCTTTCAGACTCAAGCTTAGAGTCTCTTTCTCTAGCCCTTAGTGTGAATTTTGTAATCAACCAGTTCCCAGTATTAAATCTTCCTTTTTAATGTAGTGGAGGAGTTTTTCTATTTTGCAGTGGAAGCCAGGCTGATGCAAATAAATCATTTTAACATCACTACAAATTATAATTACTTCTTTGTGATTGTTTCCAGTAAACATAATTTTATGTTGCTTATTACCTTGGTCAAATAATTACTTGAAATCTCAGTAGGAATAATTCTTTTAAAAATGATGAAATTATTTCAACTTATCAGAAAATGTATACATCTCCTATATTTCCATTAAATATTTACATTTTACCACATTGTTCATTTCTCTACTCACTGATTTTTAATATATATGACAAACCAATTTGCAATTGTTATTTGTATTGACTTGTAAGAATCTTTTACTTATTGTTTAAAATATTTTGTATTTTCTAAACTTTCTCTTAGCTTTTAGAATTTTTATAGTAGAATTTTATATGTAGAAATTCGTGTAAGCTACATTTAATGGCAGTTTTTATGTTTGTTTTTCAGTTCCATAGTTTTTAATTCTCAATCTAATTTTTCTGGGTCCTTAAATAAAAAGTTAATATAAGTAGTGACATTCACTTTGCTGAACAGCTGAAACTAATAGATTGTAAATCAACTATACCTCAATAACAATTTAAAAGTTAATGTAAGTGGTGACAAAGAACAATACTGATTTATTCCCAGTTTCACTGTGAACTTCAAAAAGTTCATTTTAAAGAATGTTCAATTATTAATTTTTCAATGATATTTATTATTAGGTTAGGAAAGCTTGCTTTTATTCCTACCTGACTATGAAATACTTTTCGTTGTCAACAGAGTTTAAATGTTATTTAATATTTTTCTGTATGTGCTGTGATGAACATGTTTTATTTTTTTTAATATCCAGTAAGAAATTACATAAACTACCCTTGCCTTTAAAAAAATAAACCCTACTTTATGAAAATGCTATTTTCTTCCTTCTGCTTAAGATGTTATTTCCTCATTTTTGCTGAATTTGATATACTTGTTATTTGTTATTTTTGTTCAATCTCTGTACATGAAGTCAGTATTTCTTTCTTGTATTGTTTTTGTCCAGATTTTTACTAGATGTGTAATATTAGTTAAATACCTTATCCTTTAGTTTTATCCTATAAAGTAATTTCTGCTTGTGAATAATTGAGATCTGTTCCTTAAGGTTTAACACTCAGCAGTTTACCTTTGAGGACTGCTGTCTTTGGGTAAAATGTAGGGAAAATTGTACATTTGTTATTAATTTCATTTTGTCAATCAGATGTTTACCTTTTATAAATTGATATTATTCATTTATATTTTTACTTAAAAGACGCACCCCACCTAAGTTTCTTAATAACTTTTTCATATGTTTAAATATCTGCTATCGTGGCTCAGAGGGTAAAGAATCTGCCTGAAATGCAGGAAATCCAGGTTTGATCCCTGGGTCAGGAAGATCCCCTGAAGTAAATGGCTACCCACTCCCGTATTCTTGCCTGGGAAATCCCATGGACAGAGTAGTGTGGCAGGCTACAGTCCATGGGGTCCCAAGAGTCGGACATGACTGAGCAACTAACACTTTCAACTTTCTTTCATTGTTTCAAATAGTGGAGGTTTTGGTGTCCAGCATTTGAAAGTGGACTGCCAGCTTTATGAATCTAATAGCAACAAACATAATGGCAGTTCCCCAGAAATGTAACGATGAGACCAAAGAAGGGCACAGCTAAGAAAATTCCTCTTGGGATCAGTCATCAGCGTGTGTCTAGAAGGCTATGCACATGTGCTAAGGAGTAACTACCCACCTAGAACAATGAGAGTATGGTATGGGCAGACTTGAAATTTCCAGGCCACAAAGAAATTTATTAAAAAAGGGCAAGACTCTCATTGGCTATTGGGAGTCAAGCACATTTCGACCAAATACTAGCTGTAGAAAAGGCCACTCTGAATATCAGTCAAGGCATAGAATAAAAATGAATATTTAAGACCAAATGGAGAATCTTAAACTGAAGTAGAATAGCCAAAATTAAAAATGAAATTAAATTTCCCTTTTAACAGTAGAAATCAAAGGGAAGAGGTAGTATTCTTGGAATCTTTGAGGTAGGTCCCATGGGTCTAGTATGTGATCCCTGAGGAGAGGGTTAGCTCAGCTGGTACGGGAAACTCAGAGATTTGGTGAAGATTTAGACCTGGGGTTGAAAATAGTGAGGCTACAATGCTTGGCAGCAGTGCCAGTATATCTGAGACTTATGGTCTTGTTGGTTCTGAGTGTAACCAAATACGTATATAGCAGAAATTATGGTTGATGCTAAGACGAAAGCTGTTAATGAGACAATTCTGACATGAATACAAATCAAATTTTCCCCAGGTTTCAAATCTTTCTCTAGTTCCTGCCATTGACACAAAGGAATAGGAGAGGATTGGCATATAAGACATGTAATTTGTAGGTTACCAGTCCTTGTGTGACAAGCCCAGAGTACAAAGAGGAAGGGCGTGTGGGACAGAGGAAAGGTAAATCAGACACACACACAAACACCATCCACAGACTGTCTTTGCTCAAAACACACAGAGAGAGTAATTCCATAAAAACTGACCGCTTAAAATTGCTTAAAATAACAGACAGTAGAAATAGGCTAGGGATTAGTAAATTTTGTGTTTACTGGTTGTTCATGGTCCCAAATGATTAGAAAAAGTTGGAATTTTCTGCCAGCGATCTAGGACAAATGCTTTAACATTGTTACTTCCAGGAGATTACAACTTAATACTTGGGAAAGATCATTAGGCTTTGGTAGTCTCTTGGAACAGGAGCTATTGGTTTTTCTTTCTTTGTTGTTTTTTCAGTAGGCACATTCTGTGTTTCTTCCTTAGGTAAAGTTAGAATATTCTGTGCTTACATCCTAAGTGAAGCCATAACATATTTCTAATTTTTCTCAGTTTTTAGGTGGAACAGGTTCCTCTGCTTTATCAACTTTTTTTTTTGGTCTCATGAAAAACAAAAGGAAAAACAGCAGACATAGTAGTGGAAACAAAAAAGGAATCAGCAAATATGGCAGCGGGCTCCTCTTTTCCACCTTCTCTTCTGTCTTGGGGGCAGGGGGCGGGCCGCTGTCCACACTGCCCCCTCTGCCTTTCTTCTGGCAGTTGGGAGGGTCCCACTCGGAGTTGCAGTGGCAGTGCTGTCTGTTGTTGCAGACCCCCCTCAAAGAGCAGAGCTGCGGTGAGCAGGAACGGGGAACAGTGGAAAAAGAGACACACTTCCTTCTGATGCAGATGTCTGTGGGACCACACTTTGTACCATCTTTCACGTCACCAATATCAGGTGTTCTTATCCCGAGGTGGTAGTCCGTACCCCAGCAAGTGTCATTATTGAATTTAGTCCAATGCAGAGTAGTATGATCTTTCATTAGGGGAATTTCTTTCACATTCTCACACTGAATCCTCCCACACAGGCTGTCTGACATGCTGCATTTTATGTATGAGGTGGCTGTGATACCACAGTTACCAAAACGGTCCCCTCTGGTATTCATTGCCCTGTAGCAACTCACGTTTGCATTCTTGGCCTCTTTGCCAAAGATCTCCCTACACTGTACATTGCGGTCATTGCATCTCTTTTCATAGCAGTAACCACCGCCTGTGCAGGAGGTCCCATCCTGCATGTACACATCTCCTGGACACTGATAGGATGTCCCATTACACCACTCTGGAAGATCACATTCATTTTCTACTTTCCTACATATGGTGCCTGATGGCCTGAAGAGGCAGTTAAGGCAACAAAGCCCAAAAGCACAGTTGACACCAATGGTTAGAGTGCAGTTTAACTGACAACAGGGATCAGACTTACACATCTTTAAGGATCCACAGTCACACTCTTCTCCTTCTTCAAGCACACTGTTCCCGCAGCGTGTCTCCCTGATGAGTGCCTGTGGACCTGGTGATGTGAACAAACACTGTCTTCTTTTACCAAGGTTCCAATAAGAACCAAAGCTACAGTTGCTGAATTTAGTTGTTGTTGCTACATATGGAAATAATATGCACTTTGCTGTTCCACATTTACATATTTTGGGATCATCATGCGCCATACCCAAATTATGACCCATCTCATGAGTCACAATATACGATGAAAGAAAAGTGTTATTATCTGGGAGAGTCTCAACTCCACAGCTATAAGGAAGTGAACACACTGTTCCAACATAAGCTAAGCCAAGAGTGATACCATAATTCTTTTTTACAAAAATATGTGCCACATCATGGGGCACACGTTTCTGGAAGCCCTTTTGCTTCCATTTGCAAAAGTTACCCAAGGCACTTCCAATATTTTCTACTGCAATAAGGCTTTCTTTAGTCCATATCTCCATTCCCTTGAAAAGTACCTCAAGATCCAGTGCTTTCATAAGGTCACTTACTCCATTTAAAACAAGGAACACTTCTTTCTGCACAAGCGTATCATTACTTTTATGATAAAGATATCGAGAGTGATCTACGACCGCTCCAACTTCAAGAAAATACTTGTGGGTCCACCAGCCTGTATATGCACTTTGCATCAAAGTGGGATTAATGCTTTCTTGAAACTTCAATTGTCCTGCTATTTCTTCATCTGTTAACCCACATCTAATGTATGAAAATTTTGTCTCCTCATCGTCTAGCTTATATATTAGATGCTCAAATGCAGTAGAAAACCTTTTGGGTTCAATTTCATAAACAATGTCATTTGTCTGTAACATGCCTTGAAAGCCCCCGAAGCAGTTATTGAGGGAAACCAGAGACTCTGGGTCCCCCTCCACATAACCACGGTAATAACAGTCATCCTGGACAAAAGGTTGGTCTTCCAGGAGAACACCCTTGTCTGTGTAGGTGAACACTGGGAGGTTTTTGGACAAAAAATTCTTCTTGACCTTTATATGAACAACATGTCTCTGGCCCCCAAAATACAGTTTGTAAGAGAACCAGCCTTGAAGCTTCATGCCTCTGCCAGTGGGTGTTACCCTCAGGGGAATCACCACTTCTGGGGGGCCAAGTCTTTGGGAGTGCCCAACCTGGGGCCATCCAGGAAGGAAGAGGAATACTTTCAGCCAGAGAAGCAGGAGAGTAACCTTCATATACATCAGGAACTCACCAACACCTATCACGGAGCCATCATATTTAGCCATTGGTAGAAAAAGAGGGCAGGACAGGATACATCAATATTCAGTCTCCCCTGTCTGAGCTGATGTATTCAATGTTAACCTTTAGTTTGTTCTCTGGCAAAGTCACACAGTCAAAGCAGCAGCACTAAAAGAAAAAAAATAAGCAGAACAGGGGCTGGGTGGGTGTTATGAGCAAACCAAGACAGAGGAAAGAGGCAGAGTACCCTTAGGATGAGCGAGAGTTTGACTTAGGACATGTCTGACATGCTCTTAAGTAATGGTGAGGCAGAGTGAGACTGTGAGGACACAAGAATGGCCTACGGTGACACTTGCTGAATCTAGAGGAGGGGCACATAGTGATTTGCGATACAGTTCTTTATATCTATTACTATGTGCAAACATTTCCACAATATATAACACAAAAGAGTGTTAATGGAAAGGTGAATGAATATCACATTCTGATAAAGGAGTCTTGTGTTACACGTTTGGATGTTATGATAATAAAATATAGGTCTTTCTTTTACTTACAAGTAAGAATTATTTAGTCATAATACTCAGGAGAGATATAAATATTATTCACAGATATTATTTTTTCTCATTGTTCATATAATGTATTTCCATGTGACAAGTTATTATTTGTCCTAAGTCCTCTGCATTTCTCTTCATCTAAATCTATGAAATTGCAGGAGTCCAACATTGCTAACTTTCACAACTTTGAGGATCTACTGTAATGCTACCTAATTCAATGACTAGAAGACGAAGGTGGTCTTGGGAGGGGGAATATGTTGGGTTGTTGATGGATGTTACTCAAATGTATTTACATTCTATTATACTGTTAAGAAGAACAGCATTTAAAAACCTGTACCCTTATGAAAGGGAAGGAATTCAGTGTAGCTGGGAGGGTAGCAATTGAAAATGGGAATGTACTGAATGCAAAATAACCTTCAGAAGTACAAAGGAAATCAGTGGGTCCTTAAAGGAAGGAGGACAGCTTGGAGTAAGGAAACATTGTCTCAGAGTGGCAAAGACATCAGAGTCTCCACATTAGAGGATTTTAAGGTAATCAGTTCCAACCTCACAATATATTATTTTATAATAAAAATGGTAATACATATACCATATGAAAATACCATCTATAATTATCTCCATAATACAAATGTGTTATCATATATTTGTTAGCATGAAATCTGATAACATGCCTGGCTGGCAATATTGATTTTCTGCTTTCTTCTTTGAATAAAGCATTTGAAAAACATGTAATGTTCATACATGATGGTATAAACTTAGAAAACATAAATGAACACACAGATCAAGATTATTAACTGGTCTAGAGCTCTAATTCGAACAGAGGCTTTAGTGGAAATAGCACATTTGGAATTTTTAAAAGTGTTTTCAATACTTTATATTTAAAATGCTTCCTTTAACTTACTTAGTGAAATATCCACTTTCTTTATCAGTTCATTAAAATAATTCTATTGTTTACAGTAAGAACCCTTGGCCTAGTTGAGAAAAAACACAGAAAAGCTGGCTCTGAAGATTCGAATTCAGGTTGATCCAGTCTACTTCCCACACTAGGTAATATAAAAGTGAAAGATGCGTGATTAAGGAAGGACCTAACATCTACTAGATCCTGTGGTCATTTCTGCTTAATTAGAACATATTTTGTTTCTGTGTTCCTTGACCTCCTTTCTCTGGAATCACTTTTCCGTCATTTGTGGGATTTTCATCTCATAAAAGGAAGACACAACATCCTATGTGCTCACCCTTCTTCACAGAAAGCCTCTTATTCCTCGTTAATTCTGCTAAACCTTTAAATCAAAAGGATAAGGTGACAATATGTAGGCCAGCAGAGAAGATTTCCATTCTCAGAATCTCCATGTGCCATACAGACTAGACATTTGTTAGTAATTTGCTTTGAAGAACAAACCTACTTCCAGACCTCTAAACAGCTAGCCATGTCATTAAGCTGTGCTGTGCTTGGTCGTTTAGTTATGTCTGACTCTTTGTGACCCCATGGACTGTAGCCCACCTGGCCCTCTGTCTGTGGAATTCTCCAGACAAGAATACTGGAGTGGGTTGCTATGCTCTCCTTCAGGGGATCTTTCTAACCCAGGGATTGAACCCAGGTCTCCCACATTGCAGGCAAATTCTTTACTGTCTGAACCACCAGGGAAACCCCTCATTAAGTTACCATTTACATTACACTCTTACTCTTAAACCAATTCTTAAGTCAGTCCTACATGAACCTCAAAGAACTGGGCATCTGATTTACTAAGGTATTATCCACCAGTAATTTCACTCATCTTCTGGGTACCAAGTGAGTGAACATCTAGTGTAATTTCACAGCTCATTTTCAACAATGTTTAGACATTGACTTAAGGACATGACCTGTATCTTGATATCACCTTGACTGCCCTAACTCCTGCATAGGATTAAACTGTTAACCACAACCTTACTCCTAATAAAAATTCACTCCTCAGATTTATAAAGGATGAAGATAACTTTTCATCATTTCCCCCCTTTTCAGTGCCCTTTATTTTATGTTTTACTATTGTAGTCTTGTTTTAGATCCTATAAATTCAACCACTGTTGAATAAAATCCTCAACCCAAACTAGTTCAGGTTTTTTCACTTGCTTTTGCACTCTTAACAAAAACTGCAAAACCTCTCAGGAAGTAAATTACAGAGTATGTTTATGGTAATTAATGAGTAAAAGGCAGGCTAAACTTGTCATGAAGTACCTGGTGTGTGTGCTGTGTGCTGAGTCATGTCCAACTCTTTGCCATTCCATGGACTGTAGCCCACCAGGCTTCTCTGTCCATGGGATTTCCCAGCCAAGAATATTGGAGTGGGTTGCCATTTTCTACTCCAGGGGATCTTCCTAAACAGGGATTGAACCTGTATCCTCTTTCATCTCCTGTATTAGTAGGCAGATTCTTTACCACTGAGCCTCTGGGAAGCCAGAGATCCCTGATACTTCAGTCAAAATGACGAAATCATGAACTGATACTTTCTTCAACACTTTGTTTTTAATACATTGAGCTCTTTTGCCTGCATATAGTAGTATTGTTTAACTTGCTAATTTTCTAAATTTTCTTTTCTGCCTGGATATAGTAATGTTGTTTCTTCACATGCTAGTTTTCTAAATTTTCTCTTTAGCACCTAGGACCCTCAGCTTAGTAATCTATTGTCTTTATTTCCACAAGTAGTTATTATTAAATTTAAAGAATGGTACTTTAAACCATAAAACTACAAGATTTTTATTTTGTGTATGTTTAATGCAGAATTTGATACTTCTGTCCTTTATTGTGCAGTTAGTTGGTGGGGTTTAGTTAGTTAGTTTAGTTAGTTGCAGTTTAGTTAGTTAACTAACTAAAAAGTTAGTTAACTTTTTAGATTTTTTTTTCTTCATCATTTAAGTAACCTGAGATCCTGGGGTATTAGGGTACTTTCCTTGTACTAAAGAGGAGCATATTTCACAAAATATCAAGGCTCCATAATGAAGGAAGATCATTAAATGGAATCCTTAAGTGGCATCTTTTTTAGGACATCAACCTCTAAATTGTGAGTAGAATCCTTGCAATTTTCACCTCTACATTCTACGTATGGGAATATATGGATGAGAAGAAGGATGATAGTCGTTATATAGTCCCTAGTCAGGGACTCTAGGGACACTGCTCATGAGGGAGTATAACACTTTCACTAGTAATGTGGCACAGTGCCGTACTAGCACACACACTTCAACCGAGACTGCCACATGTTATCTCCTAGATTCCTTTTTTCATCTTTTCCACAGCTTCATCAAATTGAGTCATCTCGTTATCATAATTATCACCTGCCTCCTCACTTGCATTTACAGCCCAATTCAGTATTTTCCAAATTGAAAAAATGCATTATTACACTATTTTTTAACTCTCAGTCAAGTAGAATAGAGCAGAATAGGACATAATAAAGGTCACAGAAAGCCCTCTAGTTTTGAAAAATTCACACAGAATCATCTTGTGTTTATATGGATGTGTGTTTGTGAATTCACACATGCACATATTCTAGCACTTTTCCCTTCACAGTTAAATTCTTGAAAGACTTACCACAGGTAGAATTAATGGTTACCATGGTATTTGCTAGTTATAACTTTGTGATAGTTTGTGCCACCAAGGTCTGTGAACAGAGATTTTTTAAGGTGAAACATTACATGACAAAGAGCAATAAAAATCTCCCCCCTTTCATCTCTTCATTGTTTATGTTCCAGATTGAAGCGCTTAGCAACAAGGCTCCTCCAGTTCTAAAGAGCATGGCAATTGGATAAAGGTCTTCCACACTCGGGCTTTGCCTTTTCCATCATACTCGAATTGCTCCTCAATGTGAATAAACCTGACTATAGTCCTTATTCCCATCCCATATATTCCCCGCATGTAGTATAAGTGTCTGGTGTTTTTTATTCATACTTTAGTGTTTTTATTCACACTGTTTCCCTCATCCCAGATTATTTCCTTAGCACAGAACCTCATAATGAAACAGTTGAATCGCTTCGAGTTCCAGAATAAGTTTGATCTGGTTTAAACCATTGTTCAAGGATTGAGGCATCAGTAACCATCCATGACTTTCACTCTAAGGTCAAGGATAACTCAGAGACATTTCACATCTGTAAATAAGTGTGCCTCATCCATTAGGAAGAGCTGTTGTCAGTAAAGAAGTGGCAAAAAGAGATTACAAAGAAGACAGATGAAGAAAGTATA